TATATATATATACTGGGGCGTATGAACAGTGATTATCAGCAAATGTGAAGTTGAAGCATTTGCTGGTCATTAAATTGACTTAATTAGCAACATCTCTTGTTTCAGTGTGTTGACTGAGTCTGTCAGATGTTAAGTTATGTTGAATTTGTTTTTATTTTAACCACTTTGTTGATCAAGTTTGAATGCGTGATCACCCAGATCTCAAAGCAGAACAACAGCTCTGATGGGAACTGGGGGGGGGGGATAAGGTTGTGGTGAAATAGTGAAACAGGAACTTAGAACTGCATCAGGAAGTGTTCACATAGTCATTTTATTTTACTGACAGGCTGCAGGCGTGAAAAAGTGTAGTTTCCTGTAATGCTTGCAATGTTTGTTCTAACACTGCATGCATTTGCWATATAGAGAAAAGTCTTGCAAAGCAACTGCTTTTTAGTAATATTGATTTCATGGACAAAAACAACTTCCAGGTTAAGTTTTTTTTTTTTTTTTTGGCATTCTGGCCTATTTTGAAGATGTGTTGAGGTGCTTAACACACAACAGCCTGTCTAAAATCATAGTTTGATAAATAAGTAGTAAATACAATATTTGGTTTGAAGACCCCACAGTACAAACTRCAAATGTTAGGTGCTTCACCTGTGAAGCACCTCCCAGTAGAAGCACAGAAATGGTAAACATGAGGAAGTTTAATGTGGTCAGATGCATTCAGAAAGCATTCAACTGAAAACACAGCTGTCGATGTTTTCCTTGAAGAGAAGCTTTTTTTTTTTTTAAGAAAAAAGAGAAGCTTCTTCTGTATGTCTTTTTTTAATTAAATACTTATTTCTCATGAACAGGACAAATACATTAAATGCAAAGTCTTTAAGGGTGAATACAAACAACAAAGCATTGAAGTGAATGGTTCAAACGTTACATTATAAACATCAAACTTCTTACATAGTTGATAAACACATTTATAACACTTATTGCACGTTGCTTTCAAATCAAGCAATATTAGAAATTTACAAGATTTTCTGTTTAGGATCATTTTTTTCCACCACAAAGTACATGTAAAACAATTTTCAAAAAATAAAAAAACATTCTTTGTTGTTTTCTATACAAAAGAAAACAGTTCATTAGCAAATCCAGTTCAGACTACCCAAAGCTCTTACAGAGTCAAAACAATAAATGAGAACTGTCAAAAAGCTGAGATGCTGTATGTCTCACATTTTTACTATGCAATTGTTAAGATCTCTCATGCTCAATTTGTCTTTCAGAACTGAAAAACCAAGACGAACAAAGCTCTTAAACTGTTTTACAAGATAGAGGAAGTAAATATTCAGCCACTTTAACAAAAAATTGCTGTAAACAGGCAATTCAGTGCGCAAAACTTGTTGTCAAAGTTAAAGATAGCCCTGAGAGATCCGTTAACGGTTAGTCACGCTAACACTGAGTCATTGATGGTATATTTTTTATCTTCCACACAATTTTCTCAGTCTAAAAAAAGAGAAGKTACCACTGTCAGTGCAGTCAGTCTTGTGTGTCCATATGTCACATGTTGTGTGGTGTTTTCATATGGCTGATAGACTGCTAGCAGGATCACTGCGCTGCTGTCACATTGGTATCCAAGAGGTGGGACGCCCACTGCTCAGTCCTGAGGGGTTTGGTTTATCACTTTCTTCTTCCGCATTGAGACCAAGTCATAAAATGGATCCTTGGTTATACTTGCTCTGTTTGAGATAAAGATGAATTTAGTTAGAAGATTAATTTGTTTGGAGAAGAACTAATTTGTTCATATTTCTTAAATTTCAAGCACACAAATCTTATTGTTTTCATGTCACTTAAAGTGGAATTGGTAAACACAGAGGCACAGCGACAGGCGCAAAACGACCTGCACAGCCAAGATACAAAGTGAACCTTTCGTGCTGTGTGATGACATTAACCACAGTCGAACAGAGTGTATGTAATGAGTTATTTTCAAAAAAAMCATGACCAGGAAAGCAACCACCGCAGTGCATTTGTGTTTCACTTATAAACATTACAAAGAACCATATAGCTAATTGCTTAAACTAAATATATTTTTCTTTCATTTTTAACACGTTGAAATCCACTGCAAAGTTACTGAGCTATGCAGATTGTAATAGCAACTGAAAACTTTGTCTTGCAAGACCTCGGATAATGTCAAAGTTTTTATTCATCCTTCAATGACGAGTGTTGTATCATCTTCCAAAAAAAAAAAAAAGAAAAAGAAAAAGAAACTGAACCTTTCACTTCATCTGGGTTTCATTTTCTCCACTACTGTTATTTTAATCACTTTTAGGTGAAGAGGAAAATCTAGCTCACCCAAGCTGGAGCTAGTATTTTGATCAGGAATAAGGCGATCTCGTAAGATGTGAAAATGTATCTGAACTGGCACTTGACAATGTCGTGGATCTTTTTTTGATTTGATTTGATTTGATTTATTGATTCAACAGGAAAAGATTACTAAACATCAAGCCTGACTCAGCATAATTGCTGTTTTACAGCAGGTTTCTGTTCTGCAGCACACAAAACACTCAGAAATACAGCATCACAATCACATCATTATACACCATAGACACAAAGACAAACAAGCATACCAAATTTCAGGAAGGCAGCATTTGCAAAATAGGATGTCTAAATATGAGCACAACAAAAAGTGTCCAGCAGATGGCAGACAAGATTCTTCTTAAAGGGCTGTAGTTTTGAAATGGACTTTATGTTTTGAGGAATGTCATTCCATGCTTTAGTATAATACATAGAAGAAAGACCTCTGGCCGTAACAGTTTTTAAAAGTTGGTAATATCAGTTGTCCTTTTGTAACAGATCTAGTTGAATGACCACTTCCAGAATTTGATTTGGGCAACAATGCACAGAGAGTTCCATAAGTGGCACCTTGGAAGATCTGAAAATATAAATTAATACCACTATACAAAACATAATTCTGAAAAGTCAAGGCATCAGACAATGAAAGAACTGTACAGTGATGAGTCCAACCAGGAAGTTTTTTTTATGAATTTTGTAGGCCCTGTTGTAGAGCCCAACTATGGGTTCTAAGATTTCATTTGTTGTAAAAGACCAAACAGGTAAACAGTACGACATGGTTGAGAGTATAATGGCATGAAGATAGATATTTGAAACAGAAGATGTCAGATTGGATCTAATTTTTGAATAAATGCATAATTTCTGTTTCAACTTAGTGGTTAAGACTTGTACATGATCACGATAAGTTAAATGAGAATCCAAAGTAATTCCAAGATATTTGCAGGTAGTGACAATATCAAGGGGTTTGTTTAAAAAAGTGAGTTGATTTGTTATATTGAAATGTCTCCTGGGTGAGGAAAAATGCATGCACACAGTTTTTTTAAGATTAATTGACAAAAGATTATCTTGAAGCCAACCATGAGATGTCTGAACATCTGCTTGTAACTGACTATTAATAGATTCAATATTGAAATCAGACAAAAACAGAACAGTATCATCAGCATACATTAAAATATTTGAATACTTCAATATTTTTGGAAGGTCATTTATGTATAATAGGAAAAGCAATGGGCCCAGTATGGTACCCTGCGGAACTCCCACGGAACAGGGCAGAGACCCAGACACAGAGCTTCCATGTTTCACAACCTGACACCTATCAGTCAAATAAGAGGAAAACATTTGTATTGCAGATGATGAAAGTTGAAAAGAAATCAACTTTTGTAAGAGAGTATAATGATCAACTGTGTCAAACACTTTACGAAAATCAATATATACAGCACCAGTTACTTGACCTTTGTTCAAAGCAGCATGTATTTGTTCAGTAAATAAAATTAATGCAGACATGGTTGACCTTGATGTGCGAAAACCATGTTAGCTATTGCTTAGCATATTATTAGCTTCTAGATGCTGAAGTAGTTGATTAAATAATGTTTTTTCAAGTAACTTTGAAAAAATAGGAAGAACAGAAATTGGCCGATAGTTTGAAACTTCTGTTGGATCACCAGATTTAAAAATGGGAGTAATCTGAGCAAACTTCCAAGCATTAGGGAAGATAGACTGCACAATACATAAATTAAGCAAATGATGAAACAATGGTAAAAAAAAAAGGTGTTAGCATGAATTTTCAAGAAATCCATATTTATCTTATATTTGTCAAATGCATATGGACCATTTAGAGATTGGAGTTTTTGTTTATTTGTTTGTTTAAAGGGTAATAACAACAATGTGATCTAAAAGTATCATTTAACAGACACTGGTAATGCCCATTTGAAAATAAATGACATTTTCTGAAGTGCTCAGTTAAACCAAAATATACAAAATTTGGTAAACTAGAAATGTTCTGTAAAAACAAAGACCAGAGCTACTGTGTGTTCACACTTTTTCTACAAATTTAAAGTCACATTGTTGCAWCCTGAACTATTTAACAATGCTGAGACAAAGTGGGGTCCCTATATCGATACTAGTATTTTCACAAGTACTTGTAAAATTCGCTACATTACCCACAACCAATACCAAACTTGGTATTGATACCGGGATGCTGATATCGATACGCTCCATTGATTTCAAGTAAAGAGTTTGCCAGGTCCATGTTTACGAAATTTTTATAAATTGAAAGAAAATCCTTATTTTTATTTGTTTTTTAAAATATTACAACAGTATATACGTATTATGTTGTATATTTGATTTTGCACTATTAAAGGGTCCATAGGCTCATAAAGAAGGCAAAGAGACCTTGCTCTAAATAAAAGGAATGTGTTTTTAAAGTCATTGTGTAATGTTTAGGTTCTAACTCAGTAATTAGTATCAGTGAGTACTCAAACTGAAGTACTTGTACTTGTATTCAGTTTGAGAAAAGCTTGTWTTGGGACACCCCTACTGAGAAGAATGTGCAGACCAACGGACAGAACAATACAATAATAAACCTAATGAACAAGCTAGTTAAAACGAGTGAATGGTTTATTTCCATTTCTCACTTTTGTTATCTTGACTTCTCAAAGATGTTTGAAGGATTATTTACTTTTTAACAGAGCAATACAAATATAGCTGCTGTAAAGTTAATTTGCAGTACAATGGAACTTGTTTTGTTTTTGTCCGTGTAGATATGTTCATGTTCTGACCTGATGGCCTCAATCCAGGAGTCTCTCTCTTCAGCGCTGGAGGCACAGATGGTGTAAGACTGGTGTTTCCCCTCCACCACCCGGCCGTCTGTCTCTGTTTTACACGCTTTGATCTTCTGCCCTCGACTGTTGGGGTTGTACAGCTCCAGACAGTACTAGAGGAAAACAGACAACTAATGTCAGAGTCAAACATCCACTGACACAACCTGTGTGCATTCTATTAAACTGGATTAGCTTTTAGCAGGTGTTTGTGTCGAACTAAGATAAACTTACTGGTTTTCGAGCATACAGGACTTCTCTGACACAAAGATTCTCTAGAGGGATGATGCCTCTGGGTTCTTTATCCTAGAAGTGGGTTAAAAATAATTTAAACTTAATTTAAAATGTATAATCATCTGAATTTTAAAACTCCAAAATCATCAAAATGGTATTGTACTGCAGTAATAAGTGAGGAGTCCTGTGGAATTCTTACAGTGGTGAACTCAAAGTAGTAAAGGCAGTTGTCAGTCAGGATGAACCATCGTCTCTTCCACGTCTTCACACGACCTCCTGRAAGACAGAGGCACAGCAAATGTATTCACTGTTATTTGTTTTGTTGTGTTGTTAGTTGCTGTCATAGACTTGCACATCTTCAAAAATCCCCGGAAGCAGAAAAAAAAGATTCCTTCTTGAGTAAATATACAAACTTTTGCAACTACCATCATTACATTTGCACGAAACAAAGAGTCCCTTCTGATATTGAGKTATTAGGACTTCCTCTTGACTATTCTGCATTTACATGCACATGTTGATGATACAACTTTTTTTTGTTCAGGCAAAGAAGACCTAGAACAAATGTTAGAGAAAATGCAAGCAGAATTTGTGAAAATACAAAACTGGATTAAACTCGATGAATTATCATTAAATTTGGACAAAACTAATTATGTGCTTTTTACAAAGAAATAAAGAACTGTTGACATTCCATTCAGAGTTGGTGGTGTAGAGRTTAGTACAGTCAGTGAGGTGAGGTTTTTTGGGTGTTGTTATTGACGAGAAACTGACATGGAGACCTCATATAAATTATTTAGGAATAAAACTAGCAAAATCTATTGCATTGCTTTACAAAGTAAGGGACTTGTTCATCGATAAAGCTCTGTACATRTTATATAATGCATTAATTGTTCCACACTTGGTCTATTGTGTTGAGGTATGGGGAAAAGCATGTAAGACAATTACACATCCTGTTTTTATTTTACAAAAAAGRGCTATAAGAGTCATCACTCGAAAAAAAATTATCTTATCCCTCTAATGTATTATTTTGTAAACTGAAATTAATGTCATTCTATGATTTGATTGATTATAATATTTTGTTAGTTATGTATAAAGCACACCGAAATGCATTACCTTTAAATGTTCAGATGAATTTTACAAAGAGAGAAAGCTGTTATAATCTTAAGGGAATRGAGATGTTCATGAAACCTAATTTTAGAACACATTTGAAAGAACGATGCACCTCAATTCACGGAGTGAGACTGTGGAATAATTTAGAAGATCATGTTAAAAGTGCCACATCAATATGCATATTTAAAGACTATTAAAAAATATGAAATTGTTTAATATGAAAACATTCACTTTGTTCTAGAAGGTTTCAATGTTTTGTTTTGTTTTGTTATAGTTTTATGCTTGGGAAAAAAGGGGCAGATAAAAGATTTTTTCTTCTTTCTGCCACCTTTCATTTCATTTTATTAGTATTTTCTTTTTTATTGTACATAGAATTTTGATTTATGAAATGAATAAAGTTTATAACTAACATGGCATGTTGATCCGATTTTTCTACATGTTACAAAGCAATTGTTTAATTATGTTTAATATAAATGTTTTGATGTTTTAATTAAATGCCTAAAAGTGGAAACTTACCAAGTTTGAGGAGCCAGCCTTCTCTGTCGGGGTTGAAAAAGGTGTGCGTCAGATCATTGCCGTCATCTTCTGGGATTTTAAAAGGCTCATTGTGTATGCTCTCATACAGTTTCTAAAAGCAAAGGAAATAAAGGATTAAAYTAAGGATGGCATAGTTTGGCCCAAAAGAATCTGTTACAAGACTAAAACAAGTCACTGAATGCAATAACTAGGACTGCAAAACAAAACATGTCTCTTTCACTAAATACACATTCACAAGAAGCCATCCTTATGATGGAAAAGTCAGACTATTATCACTTTGAGTTACTGCTACTTGTGTTATATATACATTCTGTAATAAAATGAAAGTTCTCACTGAAAGCAGTTCATTCGGCAGATCCTCTCCGTTGTTGATGCCTCTGTTCATGGATATAAAGCGTTCCAGAGTGGTTTTRTCTTTCACGTTGGGGTTGTGGAGGCTGGTGTTCAGCATGATGACAGCAAACGACAAGATGTAGCACGTGTCTGTGAGGGAAAGGTCAGACAAAGCTGATCTAAGCGATGGGATATAATCAGATCTAAGGATGTACAATAAACWTTGTGATGTATAGTTATCATCCTGTTAAGGACTCATGTAAATCATGCAAATATAGACTAAAAGTGATTTTGAAGTGGGTTTCTTTGGAGAAGTTTTAAACAGTTATTCTTAGCTGTTGTAGATAGCTCATTGAATAATATGTTTGTAGAAATRGAGTATAATTCTGACCTAATTAACGGCTGGTTTTACCAGGGTCAAGACCAAAGCAAATTGATCAAAACAACTTGAATCTCAAACTTTCATAGTAGTTTATAAATATA